GCCCGCTTTACTCAATAATTACTCCTTTATTATAAATAATAGAAAAAAATGGTTCAGGACTTTTCGACTCAGTTTTATTCCTTCTATCTGCCTACGAGAGATTGTACGGCTATTCTGGGACACCCTGTATATATATTTCTATCAGAATAAATATTCGAGATTCGAGATAAAGTGCGAGTGCGTATGCGTACGCGTTTTATTGAATCGCGTATATATAGGTGCGCGCGCTGGTTTCCCTTATAAATTTTCATAATATTGAAAATTGTAAGAATCGTAAGAATCCAGAGAATTTATATAAATGCTCTGAATCATACATATATACGTATACAGATCCAAAACGTTTCGCATCAAATTAAAGGAAGATAATGCGCGTCTAATGGGCGCCCTAACGCAATCTTGCGCTTCCCCAAACTATCCCGCACTCTCGAAACTGCGGTCGATTACACGAACGGCCAAAGTCCGAAGTCATCTGGTAGATAATCGAGGGATAGACCGCGATTGATCCGCGGTAAATACAGGGAAATTTCGGTTTCGTATCTTGCCTTGGTCGGTTTACCTTGATGGTCCGTCATGCCGGCGATCAATTAGGCCAGGGGGACCATTAGGCAGTTTTTCCGTATAGACGAAGCCAGCTGCTTGATAGACTAGATGCCGCGACGGTCGGTCGAAACAGCCACGTCGTCGACTTAGTTTCGAAATTCCTGATATCTCATTGAGATATAACAGCGCGAAGGACAGCGCGCAAAGTTTGTTCGGAACAACTTCACCGTGCGTCTCTCACTTTTCCGTTTCTTTCTTCTCACTCTGTTCTTTTCCCGGAGGCGGGGGAACGACCCAGAATCCCCAATTGGAACGCCCTTAATTACTCGAGTAGTTGGCAAATTTACCCTCGCGACTTGCCTCTATCCCCCTTAATTCGTCGTTAAGCGCGAGGAGTGGGTATTTCTTTCGTATCTGCTTGTTTTTGCGAAGGCTCTGGAATCGGCTTGGCGTGCATTGAATCGACTTCGGTCGACAACGTAATTAGGACTACCGAGGGAAGTAAACCCGACACTGAGCCCCGAAGACTGATGCAAAATAGAAAAAAAAAAAAAGGTAGTGAGTGAGCTGCGAAGAAAGAAACTGAACAACTAATCGAAACTTACGGGGAAATTACAATGTGAGACCTGAATTGTTATTGTCTTTTCTTTCCAACGCAATTCGTGACCCACTTTTTGTTGTGCAAGAATGTCAAAATATTTCCAAAATATCGCGATGCAACAGAAACGATCCGGAAAAAAAAAACAACAAAAATTTAACAAAAAGATGATGACTCTTCGTTGTGAACAGGAAAAATCACGACGTAAGAGAAACTTACTTGGTCGCCCGGAGTTACCAAAGCGGAGAATATTAAATTAACGTTAAACATTAAATTCTCGCTTATGCTCTTCGTTCAAGAAAGAGATTCGGACTTGTCTTGGCTCTCCCGCGCGATTCCGAGATTTCACAGAGCGCGCGCTGATTCTCAGTCCTCGTTTCCTTGACTGTCAACCGACAATTCTGAAACATCAGCTCGTTGAGCTCGAACAAGTGTCTCGGGAACCGTCGTTGCTACTTGCGGGATTTCAGCGTTCTCCTTCTGCGCAGCCGCGACCGTTTCCTCGAGACCGTCGACGGCCGTCGCAGCTCGCTCGCCCGGATGTTTATTTCCGGATGCGTGACGCGCTACGTCGTCGGGATTTCCGGACAAATCCGGGGTCACGACGACGTCTGATAAAATTGTCGCTTCTCCACTCGTGGTGTCGGTTCCCTCGTCTTGCTTTTGCGGATTTTCTAGCCGCGGGAGTAAGATAACGGTAATAAATTTCGCTTCGCCTCGGAGTCGCGTAAACCAATACTTTTGAGTCGATAAGTATCGATTTTGACGCGAGATGTTACGGCGATACTATTACATATTTCACGGATATAAAATCGCAATGAGAGAGAAAAACCTGCGATATGTTGAGCGGCAAGCCGTTTCAGAAACGCATCTTTTCGGCAGTTGCAAGTTTTCGTGCAACCGATAATAGACATCGTTTACTCGCGGCAATTATCCTCTTGAGGTGGCGATTTCTTTGAAACAATTTTCCGTCAATCGAAACGTGCACACATTTGTGTTCTTTTTTTATCAATAATAACATCAAAAAAAGTTTTGAACCTGTCTACGTCCGCAACACGTTTCTCTTGTAGTCCTTGCCGATTCGTTGACGCTTCTGCAGTTCTTACGACGAGTGCATCCTTTCGGGAGCTTTTTGATTGTCTTGATGTAAAATAAAAGCGAAACGTTGCTCAAAACAAATGAGTGAAATATGTTGCACCGCCCCGGTGCAAACAAAGTAGGCACAGTTAAGCCGTGTATATGCGCAAGATTTATCTGCGCTCACGAAAACGAGGAACAACAGAACTCTTAATCCGCACTAATATTAAAGCCGATTAGTCAAATAAAGCTGAAGAATTAAAGAGTGTGTGTTGTGCTACATGTTTACCTAATGCATAAAATCTCCGCGAAACCGTACGATATATTCAGTTTTTGATGTTGAACAAATTACAAAATTGTATAAACAAATAACTCACGACAAACGGAAACGACTCAAAGAGGAATTATTTGCGAAATTGCAAAAGCCGGGAATTAAATGAAAGAATCGTAACAAATGCTATTGTAGATTTCGAGAGACTTGGATTTAACGCGAGCAAAATTAGTCGCGCGAAATTTTTTTTCTCGTGTTCGTGAAAACGTAAGAGAGAAAGAGAAAGAGAGGAACATCACGGGAAGAGATTTCGGTCGTTACGCACGATTAATGTCGGATCTTCAGTCAAGTCGGAATTGCAGCAGTGGGGATCGCAAGCAAAACTCTCGAGTACGCCCTTAGCGTGTACTACGGACGAAACGAGTTCCGGCGCAGGTGAGGGTCCTCCGGTCGTTTCACGGATCGCCTCTTTCCGTTCCGTCATCCCGAATACGCGATTTTTATCCTAAAAGCGTTTCCGGTGCCTTCAATCTCGACGACCTCTCTTGCGGGAAGATCGACTAGTTTTGAGTGAACCGCGCGCATTTTACGTCCTCGCCCGAGCGCTACAAAATGCGTTCGAAAGAAAAATCTCATTACGTAGGTTACGTCACACATTTCAATTATGGTTGTTGTATATATTCGTTCATTTTTGTGTGAGAAAGAAATGATACTTACAGAGTTAAATTAATCGCAATTATTGTTTAGTTAAATTTACACATAATTAATAAATCGATAATCTTCTGAAGGGCGAGAGAAAAGAAAAAGATAAATTTAGATAACCAAAACACGCTTTTTATTAAATTATTCAACCAAAAGATTTTCTCATGATCGCGAAAACGCGATTCATTTAACTGGTTTTTCCTTTGTTTAGTAACTTGTGTTTTTTTTCCTTCAAATCCCGGCAATATTCAGACTGCAGGTATAAAGGTTTGTTTTATTTCCCTGACCGCACTAGTTCAGAGAGTTTATCTTTTTCCCTCTAATATATAAATAAAACAAGATAGACTGTGAACTAGTGCAGCTAGTGCAAGGAAATAAAACAAACCTGTTGTGACGTATACATCTCTACATGTACATCCCTTCACGAACAGATCTCACAATTGACTTACGACTCACGGACAGATTGAGTCTGTGACTTCAAAATCGAATATCTCTGCGAAAAATCAATATTTTTTCAATTGTTTTTCTTTGAATCGAAAGTTTAAACGAATCTGCGTCAATAAAAAAAACAAAAACCAACCAATTGGAAAAAATCTCTAGTAGTCTCAAAGATATAAGCGATAAAAAAAACCTAATTTTTACTAAAAACGCCGATGCGCAAGTTTTGAGCAGATCTGGGAAACACATGTCTGTCCGAGAAGAAATATATACGTGATTGTGGTAGCACGTGTATCCGCATTGACACGTTTTTCGCGCGCGTTACGTCGTCTACATATTTCTCGGGCGTTTCGAGAATTATCAATCCAATATGAATGCCGCATTCAATTTAAACGTAAACTAGGAATTATACCGCGCATTTGGCGCTAATTACGCATAGGAAGCGTACGTTTATCCACATATTAATCTGTGATTCGAAAGCACAACATCGCTGCAATTTGTATAATGAATGAACTGCGAACAAGTTTCTATTTCAGTTGTTCGCGTGTGTAACAGAAAGTGGGCTTGCCATTCCCGTTTCCATTTGTTAATTAATGTAATTTGATTTGCGTTTCGCGGAAACGTTCAAAGTTAACGATTCGCAGCTTTGTGCAGCTAGGACGTAATCAATCGAGACACGTCGGAATGCTCTCCGTCGGAATGATCGAATGATCGAAACTGCCATCGACCGAATGTAAAATACGCGCGCGACCCATTACGCGACCGCAATCAATTAATCGTTAATCAATTAACTATTACTATTTCGGTCACTGAAACGGAATAATTCGCGCGATAACCGTCACGGCTTTGCGCGCCTACAACGTTTCGATCGACCGTTCGCTTCGTAAATTTCACGTTAAATGTAACGTAACAATCGCTACGCGCGCCGGTTGTATCGGACTTTCGTGGAGAAAATATTTTTATCGCCGTTACACACGACCAGATTAGAGGTTGCAATTCCGGTGCAAAAGACAAACGCAATGACTTAAACGTCAATGAAACAAGATATAATGTTATTACAAATGTTTCGACAATTGGACGGAAAACGTTTGCGCAAAAGTTTCGTAATTTAATTTTACTTCCATCGCATTAACCGCAATAATACTGATTATGATTAAACATTCGCTTAAAAGCCGTCGTGGATCATCTTTCCGTACTTACAATGTGTTTCAGCCAATTAAGTTCAACGAAATATTGACAATTATACGGTTCATTACAATTAGCAAATTACGGTCTAGAGAAATCATACCTTGTTTTAGGAATAAATGGTAGCGAATCTCGAACTCGGGAGGAAGAGACGTGGAATATTACGCGCTGCCGTTGGTGAAATTGCGCGCCGTACAATAACCCAGCTTTTATTTTAATTAAACTGAGTATATAATTGCGTTCTGTTTTTCATTTATATATACATATATATTTTCTGGAAATGACTTTACAATAGAAATTACGCTGCTCTGCTTTATCAAACGCACCCCCGCCGTCCTCTTATTTTCTTTTCTGCCCCACACAACTTCGTTCCCTTTGTATCAAAGAAGAGCTTAATATGTGTCCATCCATTAAGCAGGAAGCTTTGTGAATATTCCACGCGCGGACTCGTTAATAAATTTTAATATATAAAAAAGTGATTGTTCGGATTAATTTCGACGTGCACGCATGTGTGTGACTATTTGCGACAGAATTCACGTAAACATAAACTGAAGACATCTCCGCTATAAATGTGTTTTAAATAAAAAGACAAAAAAACCAATTTGTTCTAAATTTTTTTTAGCGCTACAAAAATGCTCGTTTGCGCGCCGATTTAGTCTGTTGCGCGTACGATATAACTTGACCCGTTCGTATGAGTTTTTTGCGTAACGGAAAGAACAATATCGGTCGCGTCAATCGGAATTTCAGCGCTAACGGATGGACGCTCGCGATCTGACGGGAAATGTCGCCGCGTTTATAATCGCCATCTCTTCCCCCCTCTTCACCGTTCGCGCGCTGAAAACGAAAACGCCGACGCTAAAAATCCGATACAATTAACGAGCGCGCGCGACGAGTTTTAACATCGTTTTCCGACCAGTCGCGTCACCCCGCGATTAACGTGCCACGTGCAATTTGGCGCGATGCTTTACCCCCTTAAGTGCTCGCACCGCGCCATACGGAACGCGCTCACTCTCGGCGACGACGATTGCGCGATTTTACGAAATTAACGCGCAATTGCCAACGGGATTGCGAACGGAGCCGCGCCGCTCTTCATTTAAAGCGGCGGCACTTGCCGCTCACTGGCGATATTTCAAGTGTCTGTAGCACGGCGCTTTTACGTAACGGAGATCCTTAAACGAGGGGATGCTCGAACGCAGAGAGTGTTTGTCCTAAAACCTCGTTCTTTGCTGATTCTTCGTTTATTAATTTCCAATAAACACGCACATACACACACACAAACACAGCGCTTTCTCAATATTCTCAAATATTTGTAGTACAGCGCAAACTCCCACTTGGAATACCACCTATTTGGACGTCAAGTGTTTGTCGTATTACGCGTGATAAGAACGAGCCGTGTATACTCAATGAACACATACTCAGAAACGAGGCGAAATCGATCGCGTCGTTGCGCGATCGCGCGAGCGTGCGCACGTTGTACCGTTATATATCTACACATCGCGACGGAATTAATGAGGATACAGAGCCGTGGCTCACACACAAAGGAATATTCATAAGCAGAACGCTGTATCGCGGTGGCGCAATAAATGCTGAATTATCGGTCGACACGAGAGAGAGAGAGAGAGATAGCGGAGACGACTCTCTCTCGATCCGCGCGCAAATGCGGTCCGGATGTTTAGAAAGCCCTACCCGCAAATGCGGAGATACGCGATAATATCCCGCGTCTCAGGCTCCATTAACGTAATTCCCCGGATAATTCTCCGTTGTTCCAGTCGACTGTCCTTCCTTGCGACGACGACATCGAGAAACGAATGCATTTGGCGCGCGCGACGTAAACGTCCAGTCGCGCGTCGACCGCGGATATCTTCAGTGTCGAGATCAGCTGAATCATCATGTCTCTTGGTCTTCAGTAATTCACGTGATTTCCGCGCACGTGATCTTCAGAATCGTAATAATATCTCGCGAGTAAATTAAAAAAGAAAAAAAAACAATGCATTTCAAACAACGTTTCTCTGTACACAATGTACATGACGTGTTTTAGATAAAAAGATGTATCACGCTCCGATTATATATGAGAGTACTGTTGAAAATTAACAAGACGAAACTTTTACAAACTTCTTGACTTTTTTCTCCGTTTTACAATTAGATTTGTATTTTTGCACCTCGCGCGCTGCTGTTACATCTTGTACGGAAGTTACGTGCTTAGCAATTGTGACTTTATGCAACAGCTTACTCCGGAGCGAATCCAATAAAACCCGTACGAATAGGCCATCGGTGACCTTAACGATTACGAAGCATCGTCTATACGTGCTCTTAAGTCGATGTAATGACACTGCAACATTGTGCGACGTGTTGCAGTGTCGTGTGGCGGTGTTGGTCGCCATATATTATTCGCCGTTGGCACGCGATTCGTAACCACGCTCGCAAATTGTTTTTTAAACGATACGACGCGTTCAAAATCGACGATCGTCGCTGCTGAAGATGACAGCGGCCCAATTCATCTCGAAACGAAATACGGGACCGGAGATAGATCGCAGAGTTTATAACTTCTGTGTGTTAAACGGCGTGTGCGATCGACGCCGCCGATTCGCAATGAACGCATTTCGACGGGAAATCCGGGAAATCGAACCGAATCTCCGAATCGTCTTCTACATCGTCGACGTCTGGCGTGGTAATTGAATTTTTTTTCTTTTTTTAACGCAACTCGTTTCTCTTAACCCCCGCGGAAAAACTGACGGAACCTGGTTATCAGCGCGAGATGAAAATGTAATTTAGCGCATGAAACTTTTAGCGAGAGCGTAATACTTTCTAAAAGCCGTTTTCCGCTTCTACGAGCAAAAAGACTGCGGCCCGACCGAATCATGGTTAACGGGCACAACGTAATTTAAAACATTCACTTTGCATGCGTCACTCATTCATTTTGGCAAGTCCGCGAAAAAGTGGGGCTCGCCGCGAGACAATCGCAAAAGTGCATTCCGCTGTTTTTTTTTCGACATGTTAAAAAAAACAAAAAAAAGCATTCTCTGTTCCGTATAATTCATTTATGGATTCTTTCTCCGAATACAAGGGAAAAGATTACTCGCGAAGATTAATATATGTATTAAAAAAATTCTCTTTGTGTGTGAAATAAAATATTGAGCTTGCGCCTGAGAGATTGGACACTGAAGAGTAAATTCCTCATTTTCTTTTCACGAAACTCTTGATTTAATCTTTACTCTTCTTTTTTTATACCTTTTACGTTCTTCAAGAATCTGCCGCGCTATGAATGACGGCTTCTTTCGCACGAAAATAAAAAAAAATAAAAAAAAAAAAACGTTACGCGTCCGCAACCTCGGATCTTTGTGCGAGTTCTCTCGAGGATGATGAACGACAACGACGACGATGATGATCTCACAATTTTCCGTTCAATACGTATTAATTACTCTCTCGCGGCAGTACGGACCGACGGCACAATTTACGTGAAGCTTCCGCAACTTCACTTCGGCCTAAAAGGGGTCAGACTGAGTAATCAGTCTGGTCATTAATTACTCTCTTTGCGAAACACGCACTCAATGACGGCG